AGACGAATTATCTCGGTTCTTATTGGAGCTATCAAAAACTGGTCAACTGATAAAATATTAATTCTATTATGATGAACATATTACAAGTTGACTACTTTTTGATATCGTTTACAGGAAATGAGACAAATTGTATCAAAGTTGACGGTTTCTGGTACCCCTTTTTGATGCCCTTTGTACAGTGCCAAAAATTTAGAGCATTTTTTTCCAATAAATTGCGTGGAAGATCCGATACGTGGAAAATTCGCATACGTGGAAGATTCGATGAGATAAGAGAAGCTTTTTAAGCACTTGAAACCAAAGATAAAAAGAATTGAATTGTCTTTATTCTACGCACTCGTATTTATACAAGAGGGTTCATTTGCTTTATTTTTTTTTGGTTCTTTTTTCTAGAATTTTTTTGAGACCAGAATATTGTTTTCAAAAGACATTTGCTTCCGAGTGGAATTGAACCCTGGATGCTGAGATTGGGATTCAACTGCTTTACCCACTTTATTAGTCAGGGCTACGTGAATTATACTATCAGACGATTATTATATATTCAAGTTTTTTTGAAGACGAAAAAAAACACTTTTGAGGAACTAACGCGTGAAGAAACATTCTGCTTTTCAACAGTCTGCTTTTCAAGGACTGAGCCTACTTTTTTAGGACTGAGGCTACTTTTTGAGGGCTGAGCCTTCTTTTAAAGCGCTGATTGACTTCTAGGATACTTTTTTCTAACTAAGCCTAGTTTTTAGGTCTGCTTTTCAAGGGCTGAGTCTGTTTTTTGGCGACTGGAAATACTTCTTATAGCAAATATAACTTCCAGGGGTAGATTTGTAATCGCGTAAAAATCCAAAATTGAATTTTTCGAATTTCCGAATTCTATACTTTTTAAATTTCAAATTTCAGAGGCCGTATGCAAGAAAGTGAAAAACAGACGGAAAACAGTTTTCCGAAAAACGAATTACCGGAAAATGACGATTTCGGTATGCAAGAAAATGTTCGTTTTCCGGAAAACCATTTTCCAGGCGTTTTCTTTTCCGAAATCGTTTTCCGACTTCGGAGGTCGGAAAATGGAGAGGAAAATGATTTTCGCGAACAGAAAAAAGGGTTAATATCGGCGAATTTCTCGAAATCTCGTTGTTTTTTTGAAGCAGATGTATGAAACAAAACATTTTTAGAAATTAAGTTAATTTTAGTGTCTTGAGAGCAAATTTTTCGAAATTTTCAAAATGGCTTAGTTGGCTGCATCAGTCTAAAAAAATAATATAAAATTCAAAGGAAACATACCGTAAACTCCCTATATAGAAACCCTGGCTCCAAAATTTTATAAAGAGTTAATACTGCTCCCTCAAGTAACTCCGTTGTTAGATATTTTGCGAAATTTTGAAAAAAAACAGAAAAATTCGGAAATATGAAAAAAATGAACTTTGTTAACAAAAAAGAATTTTAAATCGCCAACTTGAGTTATTTTTTGAAATTCCCGCCTTTTTTTCCGAGTTCTCGGCTTTGTACATTTTTTGAGGTTCTAAAATTTTAAAAATTTTAAAAATTTCCGAAATTTTTTAATTTTTGTAATTTT